AAATGTTCATCTTCAATTTTTTAACCACAATTGTTTTTACTTGTTTGTTATCATTTTTTAATAATATTCTTGCTATTTCAAAATCGTTTTCAACTAAACCAATCGGATCAACTGTTAAAATTGCATGAAGAATATTCATGAATGTAGTTTTACCAGTACCATTTCTACCAATAATTATATTTACGTCTTCGTTAAACTCGCAGCTAACATCAAACCTATGCCAAAATTCATTAATATCTACCCGTTCTATTTTATACATTATTTGACCCTTTTAAATTTTAAAACCCCATCACAAAGATAGGGTCTTTTTACAACAATATCAATGACTTTTATATTTAATCCACCCCAACCCTCCTTTACAAAGGAGGGAGTTTCCCCTCTTTAGCAAAGAGGGGTTAGGGGAGATTAGTTACGCTACATTCCCTTCCAAGAAATCCTGTGCAAAGCGTTGTAAAACACCACCCGCTTCATATACAGACACTTCTTCTTCAGTATCTAGGCGACAAGTGACAGGCACTTCAACAATTTCACTCTTACCTTCATCCGTCGCACGCTCAATGACTAAAGTTAACGTCGAACGTGGTGCGATATTGCCAATCACGCTATACAGCTCCGTACCATCTAAACCTAAAGTTTTACGGTCAGTTCCTGCTTTAAACTCAAGCGGTAACACGCCCATACCCACTAAGTTAGTACGATGAATACGCTCAAAACCTTCCGCCACAATCGCTTCAACACCTGCAAGACGCACACCTTTTGCAGCCCAGTCACGGCTTGAACCCTGACCATAGTCCTTACCAGCAATGATGATGAGTGGTTGCTTACGATTCATATAAGTTTCAATCGCTTCCCACATACGCATCACTTCGCCTTCAGGCTCAACACGTGCTTTCGAACCTTGTTTGATCGTACCGTCCGCACGAACCACCATTTCATTAAACAATTTCGGATTCGCAAAGGTCGCACGTTGTGCAGTCAAATGGTCACCACGATGGGTTGCATAGGAGTTAAAGTCTTCCTCGGGCACACCCATTTTATGTAGGTATTCGCCTGCTGCCGAATCCATCATGATTGCATTCGATGGAGACAAATGATCCGTGGTGATGTTGTCAGGCAAGATCGCAAGCGGACGCATATTTGCCAGTGTACGTGGTGCAGCCAAAGCCCCTTCCCAGTACGGCGGACGGCGGATATAGGTACTTTGCGGACGCCAGTCATATAAAGGACTTGCCGCTTTTTCCGTGACACCCAAATCAAACATTGGAATATACACTTTACGGAACTGTTCAGGTTTCACCGCTTCTTTGACCAAAGCATCAATTTCTTCATCTGAAGGCCAAATGTCTTTTAAGTAAATTGGATTACCGTCTTTGTCATTTCCTAATGCATCTTTTTCAATGTCAAAACGAATAGTTCCTGCAATCGCATACGCTACAACCAGCGGAGGAGATGCCAAGAATGCTTGTTTTGCATAAGGATGGATACGACCATCGAAGTTACGGTTACCCGAAAGTACCGCTGTTGCATACAAGTCACGATCAATAATTTCTTGTTGCAGTTTAGGGTCTAAAGCACCTGACATACCGTTACATGTCGTACATGCATACGCCACGATACCAAAACCTAATTTTTCTAAATCATCCAATACGCCTGCTTCTTCAAGATATAAAGCAGCTGCTTTAGAACCAGGTGCAAAAGAAGATTTCACCCAAGGTTTACGGGTTAAACCCAATTCATTGGCTTTACGTGCCAATAGACCTGCTGCAACCGTATTACGTGGGTTTGATGTATTGGTACACGAAGTAATTGCAGCAATGATCACAGCACCATCTGGCATTAAACCATCGGTGCGGTTTTCAACCACGCCTGCAATGCCTTTTTCTTTTAAATCTGCTGTAGATACACGTGCATGTGGGTTTGATGGGCCTGCAATATTACGTGTTACTGTTGAAAGATCGAAGCGAAGTACACGTGGATATTCCGCTTGTTTCATATCCGATGCCCAAAGACCAATTTCTTTGGCATAGTTTTCAACCAGTGCAACTTGCTCAGCTTCACGACCTGTCAGGGTTAAATAATCAATCGTGTTTTGGTCGATATAGAACATTGCCGCAGTTGCGCCATATTCAGGCGTCATATTGGAAATCGTGGCACGATCACCCACTGACATACTGTCTGCGCCTTCACCGAAGAACTCAAGGTACGCACCGACTACACGTTCTTTACGTAGGAA